CACGCAGGAGGTTGGCAGTTACGACGCACGATCGATGGATCGACCTGCGTCATTGTTAAACTCGAGCCAAATATTCATATCTCTTTTGAGGAGAAACCATTCCTCAACGTAGTACGGCATAGACAGAACAGAAGCGACAGATTCGCCATATTTCACCGTAACATTTTTGGTGGTGACTGTGAGATTCGAATATTATGACGATGTTGCTACCCCCCCTCCTGATTTTTTCTAACACACTCGACGTACCATTAGTTACCGTTGAGAGACACACAAATCTAATTAAGACACGACGTTCATTCCCCCCAATTTTTTTTTTATTTTACATGACTGAGTTGGTATTTTATTAAAATCTTCCTTTTTTAGTAATAAATAGAAAGAATAGAATAAAAGGAACGATATTTTCAGAAACAAACAAATACCACGATATAGCAGATACTTAGCACACGTGAAAAAAAAATAAAAATAAAAAATAAACGACAACCAATTTTAACAGTTTATGCAGGGCTTATTTAAGTCACTGAACGATATAGCAAATAAACCAAATGGAACGCGAGAACCCGATTCTGTAAGGGCAAGGACGTTCGCTGGAGAGAAGAATGACGACCTAGTGGAATGGTTAGAAGAATTCGAATGGGTGGCGAAAATTAACGACTGGAATGAGAAAAAGAGACTGAGGGTAGCTCCGGGATATCTGGTGGGACTAGCAACCGAGTAATATAAGGAAAATAAAAATGGGATTAGAAAATGGAAGGACGATACAGACCCTACACAAAGCTTCTGCCATATACTAGTTGAGCACTTCGCCACTACCGAAAAGTGGCACAGGTGGCAGATAGAGTTGAACGAAACAAGTCAGCAGAGTGATGAGAAAATAGATAAGTATGCTGCGAAGTTCAAGCGGTTACTTACAAGGGTAGACCCAAATGGGACAATTCCAGATGACTACGTGGTGAGGATGTTCTTGAATGGGTTGAGAGGCAATACGGCTATTTTTGTAACCATGACATCACCCAAAAACTTAATGGAAGCTATTATGGTGGCGCGGAAGGTGGAAGCAGGGAATTATTACGGACAACAGGCCCGGGAGAAAACAAAAGATGTGAAGAGACAACTGGAGGGTAGCAGAGAAAGACTCGAACGACGAATCAGAGAGCCCCCACCGAACCGTGCAAATCAATGGAGAGAGTTTCAACAAGGGCAGAGAAGCAAGGAAAAGAAAAATGTGATCTGTTACCGTTACGGTAAGGAAGGGCACATAGCTCGACAATGTATCGAAGGGAAAACGTCAAGGGAATTCCTGAGGACCACAGTTCCAAGGGTACAGTATTGTGACGAACAGGAAGAGGAAGAAGAAGAAGCCTACGCGCTAGGGGCGGTGACGCGAGCTGCAAAGAAAAAGAGAAATAGGACAGAAGGGCAAGAGGAAAATACAAAAAAACCACAAAAAACACAAAAACTTATAGGAACGCAGGAACCAATCGTAATTGTACAATCCCCCGAGGTAACTGGTGCCACCGGGAAACCTAGACGAAAAAGGATGCCATCGGTTATCGATTTACTCAGCCCCTATAACATTTCTGAGGATATCTTGGCGATGAAGGCGAGTGCGACGTATAGACAATTGCTAAAATATACCAATCAAAGACGCAATCTTTCGAAAATATTGAGAAGGGCTAAACCCCTAAGTGAAACAAATCAGGTGAATTCGGTGGACATCCCTAAAACGACTGCCACAAAATGCTACGTACAAATTGGTAATAAGTTAGTAATCGCTACCTTAGATACTAGAGCAGCAGTAAGCATAATAACAAAGAAATTATTGGATAAGCTCTGCCTGAAGATAAACGAAAAATCCACCTCTGTCGTTATCGCCGTTAATGGAACTAGGGAGAGGACCCTAGAAAAAGTAAGGGAAGTGGGAATTACCCTACAGGGGGTAACCATCCCCACAACTTTAAGAGTTATTGAATCTAAGGATGAAACATTATTGCTCGGGAACGATTGGTTTCAAAAAGGGAAGACTCGAATCCATTTCGACGAACAAAAAATATTTTTGAACTATCAAGAGAATGAACTAGAAGTACCTATCTCTCACTACGAAGTAAAAGGATTGACACGACCGGACGAATCAAAAGCGGGTGAGTATGAGAGTGGAGATACTTTCGATAAGTCAGAATACGAAAGCGAAGAGGTAGAAGAAGAAGAAGGGTATTATATGGGGGAGCGATCTGAAGGAGAAGAAGTAATGTGCGAAGAGATCCTGAGCCCTGCGGTATACCTGACTACCTTGGAGGAAGTACCGACTCCAGAAGACGAGGAAGAACCTGCCCTCGAAGAACCCAAGTTGGACCTAGACAGTCTGACAAAAAAAGAACGGGTGGAAGTGATAAAACTCTTTGAGACAAGGGAAGGGTTGTTTGCTAAGGAACTCGATGAGCTTACCCAGACGGATGTGATCTGTCACGAAATTGATACGGGTGATGCAAAACCAGTCAAGCAGGCACCATACAGAATGGCTCCTGATAAGCTTGAGTATGTAAGAAGCGAGTTGGTAAAAATGAGGGATCAAGAACTTATCATGGAGTCGAGAAGCCCGTGGGCATCGCCAATTGTGATAGTGCCCAAGAAGAGCGGTAAACAACGTTTATGTGTTGATTATAGGAAATTGAATGTGGTAACAAAGAAAGATGCCTACCCCCTACCGAGAATTGACAACTTGATCGAGACCCTCAGGCAAGCTGAATGATTTTCAAATCTTGATCTCGCCAGTGGATACTGGCAAGTTAAGATCCATGAGAAAGATCGTGAAAAGACAGCGTTTGTGATGAAATTCGGAACATATGAGTTCCGAGTGATGCCATTTGGACTGTGTAATGCACCAGCCACGTTCCAGAGGCTCATGAATAAAATACTGTATGATTGCATCGATAGATTCGTAGCCGTCTACTTAGATGACATTATTGTATACTCACAGACGTTCTCAGAGCACATCGACCACCTAACCTATGTTTTTGAAAAATTAGGTCAAGCTTCGTTGAAACTGAATGCGGGAAAAGTGTAAGTTTTTTCTATCAAACATAGGGTTTCTGGGACATGTGGTTAGGAGAGACGGTATTCGACCAGACGAAGACAAGGTAATAAGGATAAGGAACTTTCCAGTGCCGGGAAGTGTAAAACAGCTACGGAGTTTTGTCGGCCTCGCATCATACTATTGAAAATTCATTCAAGAATTCGCGAAGATTGCTAGGCCATTACATCAATTGCTGAAAAGAACGTATGATACAAATAGACGAGCGAATGACAATTAGCATTCGAACGGTTGAAAACACTTCTAACAACAGCTCCAATTTTACGATATTCAAATTTTGAGAAAACATTTTATTTATATACCGATGCGTCCGGGACCGGCATAGGAGTGGTGTTAGCTTAGGTAAACAACACAAGGAGAGAATACGTGATTGCCTACGCTAGTAGAAGTTTGACGAAAACTGAAAGAAATTATGCAGCAACAAAGTTAGAATGCCTAGCTGTGATATGGGGAATCGAGTATTTCCACTATTACCTGGGTATGAAGCCATTTATAATGGTTACTGACCATTCTGCATTAAGATGGTTGGAAACTTCTAAGTTGAAGGGTAGGAGAGCACAATGGATCCTTCGTCTCCAGCCATACAATTACACAATAATATATCATGCCAGGAGAAAACATTCCAATGTTGACGCCTTATCCCGCCTGATTAATAAAGGGAAACTAAATAACAGAATTAATGCTGAGAATAATAATCAATTGCCTGAAGTAACCAATAATAATAAACGAGACTCGAAAGAGGGAGGTGACAAACAATAATAAGAAAATCATTGACAACCGTAATACAATAAACTACGAACGATAGACCGACAAATTAACAATCCGAGGAACAGAATCCTGCCCAGGTTCCGGTGTCCTAGCAAGAAAGAAAAAGAGAAGAGCTAAGCTAGCAAAAAAAAAAAAAAAAAAAAAATAATAATAATAATAAATAAATATAATAATTAGTAATAGTATAGCCAAACATAAAATGAACGAAAAACAATACCGACAATTAAGAAAATACTTACAAGAACAATGGTTACCTACAGAATGCTCGCAGCAACAAATGAGAAGAATAAGAGTCCAAAGTAATTTCTTTATAGTAAAGGGAGGAGATGTTTATAAGAAGGATAAACATAAACAAGGTAACTTATTGAAGATATTATGACGCCATGAGTTGGGACCTATCTTGTACTTAACACATAATCATCTGTTGGAAGGGCATCTAGGAAAGAATGTCTGTTTAATAAGATTCGAGAGCTATACTATTGGCCGCAGTTATACGAAGACATTCGAACATACGTACGATCTTGTGACCAATGTTAGAGAAGGGGGAAGAATAAACAACAAGGGCCCCTACATCCTATACTAATAGGAAAACCATTCGCGAAGATAGGAATCGACATAGTAGGGCCTTTACCTATTACCCCCGGCAAAATCACTATATAGTGGTTGCCACCGATTACATGACAAAATGGCCTGAGGCACGTGCCCTAAAAGAAGCAACCTCGCAGAAAATAGCAGAATTCATCTACAATGATATAGTATGTCGACACGGATGTCCGACCCAATTGTTATCCAATCAAGGCGTGAATTTCAGAAGCTGAATGCTAAATGCTTTCTTAGAAAAATTTCGTATTAACCATCTATATTCTTCACTGTACCACCCACAAACGAATGGGTTAGTAGAATGGTTTAACCATACCTTATGTGAGTCCATTGCCAAAATGATACACGACGTAACAGATTGGGATCTGATGATACCCTCCGCTCTCTTTGCTTACCGAACAGCATGACAAGAAACTACGAAAATGACACCTTTTTACCTAATTTATGGGAGAGAGGCATGAACCCATATCCACCCAATGGAGGATGATGAACCATCAAAAGAGATGATACTTCAATGAATCGTCAACCTGGTGGGAGTACTACCACAACAGCGAAAAGATACAATAATGCGAGTAAATACTACTCAACAAAAAGTAAAAGCCCGATATGATCGGAGGATTTGAAAGAGAAAAAGCTTCGACATTGGGGACAAAGTATTGAGATACAGGGCATCCCAAGACAACTCACGAAGCAATAAACTAGACCCAAAATGGGTAGGCCCATTCTATATACACGAGGTCCGACCTAATAACGTATATCGTTTGCGAACAATGGTCGGAAAGGTATTAAAGAAACCAATCAATTGACAATTATTAAAGATATACGAAGAACCAGATGAAGGGAATCGGAACTTACCTATGGTGAAAGTTCAACAGCCCGAGTGATAAAGATGTCGAGTGATGTGAGAGAAAGGATCAGGAAAAATATCCTAAGAAAAAGGAAGAAACGTCGAGATCAGGAGAGCTGTATGGAAAATCAGAGGAAAAGCAGACCCAATCCAAACCCGACGATTGATACCAAAATACCGTCGCGTTTGTGAGCATAAGCAGATTGATAATCGCTGAGCTGTGACCAGTAACTAACCTCCCGAAATTACAAAAGAGAGAGGAAGAGAAGCAGAAAAGGGGAAAGAAAATAGAAAATAAACAATGGTGAACCATATACGAAACCCACAATAGAACAGAAGTTTTAACTCACTGCGATACGACAGCCTTGATATATGCAAGAATGCTGTCATAAGTTACGAGATCCACATTGCAATCACGATCGCAATCGTGATCGACAGCATGGGGGAAAATAGGAATGTCATCAGTAATGACGAATAAAAACCGTCATAAAGATCGCAAATGACATGACGCGAGTAAGCCACTGCATGAAATCCGAAGATTAGGCAGGAGAGACAAATGAACCCGGCTACAGAAAGAAAACCAAGACGAACGTGATCAAAGAAAAGGATACACTATCACGACACTATCGAACCGACTGTATATGCATTTAGCATACGTTTGAAAAACAAGGTGTTGCTCAAATTTATCAATGTCATATGGGATGATTAGCATGATTAAGATTATGCACGTCAATACTTACCAAAACTTAGTGATCGCTAGTAGTACTTGTGATTGAGGAGGGGAAGGAAAATGGTGAAAAGAATATTGATCGAAAAATTGAAAAACTAATTAATAGAAAAATATACGATTAGTTTAGTGTAGCATAGAAGTTATTCAATGACATAATAAAAATAGCTTACCTTATTTTTTCAACACTATTTTTTTTTTTTGTTTTCAAACACTTAATTTCACGATTCTTTTTTTTTAGTTATTAGTATTTATTTCTACTATTATTCAAATTTACCTTTTAAAAGCAAAAAAAAAAAAAAAAAAAAAAA